TAAGGACATGCTTCCCTCTCTCTCACTCTCTGATGCATTGTAAATTACTTGAATCAGATTGTAGCTTTCTCATTATCATTGGTGGGTAATAGAGAGCTAACTCTCTCACTCTCTGATGCATTGTAAATTACTTGAATCAGATTGTAGCTTTCTCATTATCATTGGTGGGTAATAGAGAGCTAAAATAATGCCTGTAATTATCTGGATTACCAAACAAATACCAGCAAGTCTGCGCAAGAGATCCAAACCCCACCCATGGCTGAGATTGCTAGAACAACGAAATTTTGTGGTTCGGACGATACATTCCCAACGCGGGTCATGATTGACTGAATATCACGTTCTGCCGAATCAGCACAACAACAGACAAAAAGCCATATTACCCTTTTTCTTTTTTTGGCTGTGATCAGTGTGATGCTGATTGAAGCGAAGGGAAGGATGGACAACAGAGAGAATAATAGGCACTCAGGGGAGGAAGGTGAAAGGAGGGACAGGAGGTAGAGAAATAGAACAACGTTGGTGATGAGGGGAGAGGAAGGTGAGGGAAGGAAAGGAGGGACAGCAGAGAGAGGAAGGTGCGGAAAGGAAAGGAGGGACAGCAGAGAGAGAAATAGAGTAAAATAGTCACCAAGGGGAGAGGAAGGTGAGGGGGGGAAGGAAGGACAGCAAGAACATAATAATAACAAAAAAATAGCTCACACAGAGACACGGGAGCCAGCATACCTTTCCATCTTGGAGCGAACCCGCATTTGCTCCTTAGAGGGACAAAAATCCCAGGCATGCACTCGTATCGTGTACAGAGGACAGCAAGTGAGATGCATTACCGGTTTATATAACAGATTCCCAGATCTCCTCCATCCCCTGTTCAAAAATTCTGCACACCGCAGCACAGCACCACAGGCTAGCTAAGTATGCTGGTGCTCTTCTCCAGTGCCAATACCAATTGCTTAGTGCCCCGAGTTAGGCCGATCTCAAGCGTCGTACCCTCTGCTGCCTTTGGTGCATTTGGTGAGTGGTGGAGCGACGCGCTTTTTTACTCAGTCAGATGCTGGCAGAGTGGCCAAAGCTATACATAGCACTGCTACTGGGATGCCCGTCCACACATACGGCCATATTCAATTGTGAAAGAATAGTGCAGGGAAGCCCTCACAGCCCCATCAGGCCAAACTTTTTGGGGCAGCCAACAAGCTCACCCACAATCGACAGACAATGGTAATCCAATCAACCAGGGACAGGCTCCACAGGTGCTATGTCCGTGCTTGGAGAGCATGAACCTGACCGTAGTGGTGGCTGGGTGCATGCTTTCCAAGCATGGGCATCGCACCAGACGACCTTCTATGTCGTCTTGCAGGAATCGCTCACTTGCTTTGGACAACAAGATCACGTTGGAGGTAGAAGTCTATCGGGAAGGCATACACCCACACCGCCACTGTCTTGATTGATCCTCACCTTCGTAGTCATCGGTCCGAAGTGTCAGCGCTCTCAGGCCTTTTGCCAAACAGCACATTTCACAATAGACAGCCAGCAAAAAACAAGTGCACCATTGTCTTATCAGCACAGAGCCCTCCAGATCCAATTCAAGCACCTCCATTCCATATCTGCAGCCTTTTCAAAGCCCTTCATGACAACTGGGAGACATGACCAACACTAGGTAGCACTTTGATGCAGTGGCAAATAAGCACATTTCACAATACAATGTTGAAATTCATCAAATTCATAAGATGTGCCCAGTGCAGTTTCGCTAAATGAAAAGTGTTTGGACTGCGACAATCTCATCGAATCTCTTCTTAACCAACAAAAGGGAAAAGGCCAAAATTGGGCTGGTTCCAAACTGCCACCCACCCAGGGTTATGAAGAGACTGTGGAGTACTTCTGTGCGCTTATACATGCATAGGGCCCAGCCTCACGGCCTAAAAGTACCCCTGAAATCTCCCAGTGCACCTTACATTCACGAAATGGAGGCTGCACTGGGAGTTTGAGCCTGTCTGCCTACCTTCCTTCCTCCCGGCTGCTGCTCTCTGAAAAACGAACAGAGGGCGCCCCATTCTCAGAGAGGGACCCAAACTGGTATTGCCAGACTCAGTTGAACCACAGACTGCCATGAACGTGTTACAGAGCAGTACAACCAGATTCTGTTCTAATCTCCAGAACGCAATTGCACAGAGCTACACCAAGTTAAGAAGAGGTGCCCCTATTTCCCTTTTCCAAGTCGGACCCAATCTGCAGCAAAGGAAACCAAACTACCTCGATTTGCAACCCATAAGTTTATACCAATGTATTTCACCAGGCAATACCAATGTATTTGACCGTGATCATGCCCCGATTCATATAAATTGCAAAGATTTGTCCCAAATGTTCGTATACAGAGGCACAGCCAGATTCATTACTCACCATGCGGTGCAAAAGATGGAAGGGCAAGAAAAGTTCACCGCTTTTCCACCAGGGACACAAACTAAATCAAAAAGTCAGCTTCAATTCATCTTGTTGTCTGCCTTGGAGAGGATTCAAACCTCCAGACATTTCACTAAAAAAAAATGTATTGCATGTATACTCTTCCACAACCAAGGTGCGAGGATACAGCACCTCGGTCAGCCACAAAAGTGGCCGCACCCGCCCTAAGTGAACGAGAGCCTGCGAAGTGAACCCTGCCGTGAGTACAGGCCAATGTGAGCAGAATTAGTTGCTGCACACATACAGCATCTTCAACCAACCGGTAGGCCCAGCCAACAAGATGGTTGAAGACGCTAGGCCTTGTGCAGATTCTGGAAGGCCCCTAGGCACAGGAAACTGGGCGAGGGCCAGCGCAGAATGGGAAAAGCCTCCTCAGCCTCTCCAGCAAGAACAAAAGACTGGAGGGCGCCTGGCATCAGACATTCGGGCACTCAGGCATGCGGCAGCACTGCTCGAGGGGTTGCTGGACATTGCACACTAGGAGGAAGCTGCGCCGTGGCAGCAAGGTAAGGAAGAAAGAGGGAGAGTGGAAGCCATAACCAGGCTGCTCGGTCCATAGCTGGTGGTGGAGTAGCGGAGGTCCTTGCTGGACAGGGACTGAGAGAAGGAAGAGAGGCAGTGTGACGAGGCATGTACCTTGTGTTGACAAGTCATGCTGTTCGATCAGAGTCTTCAAGCAGCATTGGGATGATGACATGAGGACCAGTTGCTAACATTAGGAGGCTAGTGTGATAGGAGTTGTAGGAGGTAGAGTCGGTGGTAAGGCTGCCTGTAGGAGAGCTACATTATTGCTGTATTGGTGATTGGAGGCATTGAAAGGGCTTTGATTGCTGCTTTCAATTTCGACTCGATGACGTCCTTTCTTCTGTGAGACATTGCAACTTCTTTATTGCTCTTCACATTGCTTTCTCCTTTGCAATTTGGTATCAAAGCTAGTTCATAGGCTATCGCCGCGGCACATTCGGTTAGTGCTGTGCTTGAAGGCTATGCAAGCAGTGTGATCATGTACATGTTGGGTTGTTGGGGTCACGCACGTCATGCAGCGTGCATGGCCGGAAGGCGGTTGTACTGAGGAGGAAAGTTTCTGTCTGTACTTACAACCCAGACTTGGTCTGTGCCCATGCGAACCGCGTTCTTTGCTTCTCCCTCTTCTTCCTCAGGTTCCTTTCTCCCCACCTCAATGAATTTACCGGCCTGTACCTCCCCAAGTCAATCTCTCTACTGCGCTAGACTACCCAGGCTAGCACAATAATACTGGAACTGGAAATGAAACCGTTTTTCTTCTGAGCAGCACGAAGTCTCCTTCTTCAGCCACAATTGCATTGCCACCTGGAAGCTATGGTGACTGTCTTTCGCAACACCAGTGCCACTCTCTCTCTCTCTCTCTCTCTCTCTCTCTCTCTCTCTCTCTCTCTCTCTCTCTCTCTCTCTC